GAAAGCGCTGCCATTGTTTTTTCACGATTGAAAAGTCGATTTCGAACACCTAGATTTTTTTGACAAATTTCTTGACGTCGTTATAGATTCAAATCCGCGGTTTCTCGTTAAAAATAATCCTGGATCTCTTTGATATTCACCGAATGGCGGTTTCAATGATAGCGAATTAAAAAGTAGAATAAATTTTTTTCAAAAAATGTTAAAAGAGTTGACCGAGATTTATAAAAAATAAAGCACTTTATTTTGATTGGTTTTTAGATTACTAATTGTCGGATTTTATTTATTAAAGTCGCGTTGCGGATTCAATGAAAGAGATCGAATCCGGAGATGATTTAATCCACGGATCAAATACGTGAGAATAGCCGCGTATATCGAACTATTGATGTAGGAATGATTCGGATTAAAGGCCGTGATCCCGGATGATGAGTGTTGCGATTATGGTCGGCGTCAAGACCAAATGATCATTCGCTTAATTGGCGATCTCGATTTGTATTGACGGCGATTCTGTGTGATATTTTTTCACCTGACTGGCTTTTGAAAATGTCGCGTTATTCCGCTTTGTTTAAATCGCACGTCTTTTTTCACTGCAACGAAATGAAACAAAAAAAAAACATATTGCCGGGAACATATACCTGGACGCTTGCAATATCGAAATTACAATATCGTTGCTAAGTATCAGGTGTTGAAACCGCTGCTGGCGATTGCTTCTTATCAATCTTTCGCGTGTTAAAACAAACGCGTAAAACATAAAATTCATACGCCGTACTTTCCTATGGGGAGTACATCGTACATCTTGCTATTATAAACGATAACGTTGTTTCATCACTGCACTCTCACGCGATGAGCCGCTTGAGAAGAAGAAATATTGGAAGATTTCGCTGAAGGATAGATCGCTATTTTTGTTCCACCGTTATACAAACGATTTTTAATTACATGTAACAAATAGAAAATTATATATCCCCGCGTAATCGTGTATAATTAATTAGTTAGATAAAGGGATATCTAATTGGATCTGATGTCAAAATGTATTATTATTAATTATTATGCTTTTCGTTATTATAATTTAGCAATATTATTACGAATTGATATTCGTATACATTCTCGTTTATTTTTTTATTCACGAAGCATACCGCTCTTTGATTCATGAAGCATGTAAAATCGAACGTAATCTTTTAATTAATCTCGATCTACAAAGTTTAGTTTTTTGTTATTGTAGTATCGACAAATCTGCGTGAATACCTTCCTCGTGTTTATTTAGAAAAATGTTTGAGATCTAATATTGTAAAACGAGATACACATTTGTTGCAAGCGTTCAGATATGCAATGTGCCCCGTATTTCGCGTTTGTACGATTGTATATATACGGCGCAAATGTGTGTGTGTGTATGTGTGTGTGCGCGTGAACTATTTTTCAAAATTCGCTTTATCTCCGGTGGGATGCGGCACGCATACTTCACATATTTCCATCGGTATTCATGCCGGGAAAAAATTCAATGAGAGGTACTCCGATACAGCAGCGATACGCGTTAACTCTTAACTGAGCTCAACGATCTGCTGCGTTGCTTTCATATTACATGACAGGGAGTAGTGATATTAAATTGTACTTTATCAATTATAAAAGTTGAGAATTTTAACGATTATAGAGGAACAATACGTAAAGGGAGAATTTACGAAATTAAAGCATTTGTAATGATTGATAAACAATATATAGCATCGGAGAAGAGATTGCAAATAAAATGAGAGAGTTAGATTCTTTTTAGAGTAGCACTTCTAAAGAATAATGTACTCGGGGCGTTAATGAACTAACGCTTTTGGTCGGAAATTGCATTTGGAAATTCCTTTCAAGGATTCGATCGTGAGGCGAAGAACCCTCGAGGAACTCATTCTACGGCCGTAACATAGGTTTCTCGGCCGTGTTCAGGAATGTCCGGGACTCAGTCGTGTAGGAGCTGGGGAGGGAGAGGAGGGCGCACGAAGAGTTGTTTTATGCAGGCCTTGGATTTTATGCAATGAGACTGCAATATCAAACGGCGCGAGAAGCGCGCGCGTGAAGTGCCACTGAATAAAATATCTCGAGGCCGTTGAGAAAAAAAAAGTGGAACGGGGATGGCGCGGGATGGGGCGACGAACGGCCAGACGCATTTCGATTTCCCTATACCGGCTGTTGCACTACAATAGATATACACGAGAGATCTCGCGGGTGCATTAAAGCGCGCCTCATATTCCCCTCCGATCGCTCCGGTAATTTATTACGTCGATCGATCGCCATTTCGTTATTTCCAATGTTCATTCGAACGCGGCCTCGGCATTACTGTCACCTAGCATGGTAATTTAGAGACATTTCAATGTGGGAGATTTCGATATCTTAATAATTTAGCAACAAAGCGAAAAGATGGAATCTCGAAAACGTTCTATTGTGTAACGCTTTTATTATAATGATGCGAATGGATAGAGTTTGCAGAGCAATATTGAACAAAAGAGTAATTTTACGATAGAACATTTTTGAGCAAGAAAATTAATTTTATTCGTGAACATTGCTTATGATAATATTTTTATTAAAAATATTAATTTTCAAAAAATCGTATTATTTCAGCATTTTATTCAAAATTTCCCAATTTTCCCCGTAGGAATTATTTTTATGCTAACGCAATGTCGAGATATTCTAAAATTGTCTTACATCGAGTCTTTATTTATTTACGTCCGGGAGAAAAATCTGAATCCTTCGCGAAATATAATTCGCAAACATTCAAAGAATTTTCGAATAAATCAAAATTGGAAAGCAATAATACTAATAAACGCATGCATATCGTTTCTCGTACTTTTCATTTTACGAGATTATTTTATCGATCTATATTATTATTTTGCCATAATTATTTCAAATTAGCGGAACAAAGCGGGTTTAAAATGCGCGAGATACGCGCTATAAATGAAATGTCATCTAATTATAACGTACCGTATGCTTTATCCTCGTAATTAATACGAAATTTACACACCTGGCAATTGGTCATTTCAACGATTATGCCAACAATGTTACGTCTCTATTGTTTACGGTCACTCGGCACCGGCATTTAGCAGCTCGGCGAACTTTTGCAAATGAATAATGTCACTTGTGACGTAGCAGAGCGAGGAAATGAGACAATGTAAAAGCCATGGAGTGCAAAGGTAGAGCATTACGAAATAGAGAGTGAGATAGGTAGAGAAGGGAAGGAGGGAGAGGGGTTGGAGGAGAAAGAGAGAGACACTTCGAAACTTAGATTGGTGTCACATGGTTCTCGGCGATCTGAGAGTAAGAGACAAAGTCGGCGGAGAATGGAATGTCGAAGAGAGATAGAAAGAGAGACAGAGATGGGAACGCTATAACAGCACGATCCGAGGCGGCTTAACCGGGAAATCCAAGGTAAGACCTCTCGCGAAATCTCTATTTCCGCGAACGCCATGTTTCCATGGCGTTTCCCGTAGCCGCCGGAAGTGCTTCCACTCTTCGTTCCTCGTCTCTCGCTCTCTGCCCATCTTCTCAGTCGATTCTAAAACCAGGGTCTGCCTGCATGTCTTCCATGTAAATCTTAAAGGATTACGCTCATAATTGCCTGCGTTGCCGCGTAATTGAAGAGCACTTAGACCGGCTCACGGCGACGCGATACGTGACTGCCTTGCTCCGGATCGAAAATCCCGCCGAAACGATTCCGTCGCGAATCCTCAATACCGAGGGTTATCGTGTCGTACGACGCGCGAACGTGACAAAATGGTACAGCCACCTCACATCGAACAAGATGCAAGAGGGATGTATGATTTTTTACGACATCAACTTTTATGTTGTGAACGTATTTTTATATTTTCTCATCACGCTATAATGCATCTTGACAAAATTTTGAAAGACAAAAGTAAAAGAAAATTGTACGCTTCCCCTTCTCCGAAAATAAATTTATTGAAAAAATTCATTTTTTCCATATTTAAGAATCATTTTATCCAGAAATATTTCATTTTTAAAAAGCTTTAGGTTTTTTAGTTGGTTTTTAAATAAAAGATTAAAAGTGTAAGATTATTAAGCGTCAGATATATTGGTTTAAGAATCATAGTCATTGATATTCTTTGTTTCCATGTTATCTAATAAAAAATTGAAAAATAAATTTCGCACACTTGTGTTTGTAACGTATATTATCATGTATTATACTATTATTCTATATTTATTTCGAGCAATTCAATCGATCGGTCCTTCGACATCGAAGTATCCCGGATTCTGTACGTTCAGTTGCGGCTTTATTAACTAATGCAATCGTAATCGCATGATCTTTGCGGCTCGTTGACTTTCGTGCGATCCGATCTGTACGTCGAAACTTAGTCAAGTGCTATGCGAGCCTAACATCCTGATCCCTGGGCTTAATGGATTAATTTTGTGATTGGTTGATTCGTATAATTAAAGCGTAACTATATACACAGCTATGATCGGAGACGAGATGCAGTTAGGACTTAGGATGAAATTTTAACCGCGAGCTCTCTCTCTTCCTCTCCCTTTCTCCTCCTCTCTCATTCTGCCTCTGCCGAATGAATTTCGGACCATGTTCGGAAATGTCAATAGCGTGTTTATACTGGTTTATGGAAAAGTTTGGGATAGCAAACTATTCCGATCCTTTGTCGGCTCTTTGTAGTAGAACAATCGATTGGCGTTTCAGCGATTTACCAACAAAGTGACAATCTATCAGTCAGTGGCGGTCGCAACTAATATTGTCTGCGTGTAAAACTTTTGCGAAACTATTGTTTCCAACGAATTCCACGATATCGCTAAACAATCGGAATATCAAATTTAGAGGATATTAAATTTTCTTTACCAATTCCATAAATTTTAAATTATCAATACTTGTTGGAATAGTCAATCTATTTCTATTTTTTATCTCTATAATCTGATGACTTTTTTCTCTAAATAGCTAGTTTTTTAATTATTGGATGAAGAGAATTATTTTGAAATATTTGTTTTAAATATTTGGCCTTTTTTTTATGTTTCAGGTAGGTCTAATAGGAAATAAAATTGATCTGTGTTCGATACATCGACGTGTGAAGAATTTAGACAGTATGATGATGACAAACCTACCCCCTGTTATGCTGCCACCTATTACGGACTACGGAATGCTGACGCCTACTCTCGGAATAAAGGTGAGTCGATTTATCCCTTCGGTAAGCGCGAAGAAACGAGTCTCGTGATACAAAAAAATAATCCAATCGAATCTAGGAATCAATTTCGCTCTCATTATTGCTAATTTAAGTAAACGAGAGCGCATTTTAACGCGTATAAAAATTAATATGTACAAATCTTAAATATATAAAACAGTCTCAATTTTAGTCATATAAAAGCGTCGATCTGTTTCGAATCGATATTTTTGACAAATAGTTTTTTGACAAGCCGACCACGAAATCGCCGCTGGCGATTTCAACGATGATTGCAAACATTTCGATGGAAAGAGACTATCGCGTGCTCTCGCCTCGGCGCTTCCCTTCGGTTTTTCCCCCCTCGAAGCAATTCGGGATGTTTTAGCCGATATAAAATCCCCTCTCGCAAGCAGGTCCTTGGGGTATCGCCTTTCATCTCTCTGGGCTTTTGCAAGCCTCACGCTACGCTCGTGCGCGAGAGATCGCCCTAAAAGCCGCGAGATATTAATTAAAATTCCGCCCGAAATACTTCCAGCGAAGGACGAGGGGTGGGCGCGGTGTATTGGCTAACCGGCGAGTTTGTGCCCCGGCGCGTCTAATTTACTCGGCGATTTTCCACGTTCTGAAATACACAAACCTGCAGCGACCATCAACATTCCGTCACGTTACTTCCGGTTTCGCGTGAAATCTGTTAATCGCGTATCTATAATCGTACGAGCGAAGAATATGATTATAAAAATGTTATAAGATTTCCATAATTATTCTTTTCGCGAGGAAAAAAGAAGTATATAAAATCAATTCGTATAATATCGCATACAAATAACAATATTAATATTTATGTTATTTTAAAGAACGAAATGGGAGTTTTTATTTTTTCTTTAAACGTGAAATAGCTCCATTGTTATGTTTTTTAAAATATAAAATTATAAAAATCAGACTGCATCAATCTTAAAGACAGTTCTTTATGAATTTTGAGATATAGGAAAGAATTAACCTATTCCCTTTGATCTTTTTGATTTACGAGAAACGATAAAAAAGATAATGAACTGCCGGTGAATTCTACCGTTAGCGCGTGCGACTGAAAATTTTCAAGAATCTCTATTCACTTTTGTGTGTTGCTTTGTTGCATTGTTTAACTAATTTGCGTTGCTACATGTCAACTCTCTGATTCGTAAACATTACTCATTATTTTGCAATTATTCCGTATTTTTCAATATTGTCTCGTTTATTTTTTTTGGAATCCGTCCAATTAAAAAAGACAAGTAGAGGAATCCGAAAGGTAAGATCGCGGCGAATCCTCGTATAAAATAAGATGAAATAAGAGTTTGTCTCTCGAATGCAGTCGTCACGGATAGAATCGCGAAAGGTGAGATCTCGTTACGTCGAGTTACTCTTACGTAACTTATCTTTGTCATTGTAAAAGGGTATATTCTGTGTGTTTCCCTTACAAGTAAGTAAGAAGGTACTTTTCAAGCGGGTAGACGAGGCGTGCTTTCAACGACTGGTAGTTAACGATTGAGAGAATCCGGGATACACTCTTCGCGTTATTCTTCGGTTCTTTCTTTCGTCGGCCGAGCCATTGTGTTTTCCGCGATATCGAATTTCCGTAACTATTCTCACTTTAATTAAACTATTTCTAGATGGAGGATAACCGCGCCGGTAGACTGCGAAGTTACTTCGCTCATAAGTCCGGAAATATTAATTTCCATTATTGCAAAAAACAAGTGCGCTTGAAAAAGTTAACATTTTGTTCATCGCACTTTTTTATATTTTATCTCGCGTCGTTTCGATCGTCTCTTTTTAAAAAAAAAGTCAATCTTCGAAATTCGATCGCGAGATATCCTAAATTTTAATATCAAAATAATTGCCACTCTTTTAATAGTTGTAGAGATAGTTTTGCGACTCGTTGTACAAGATATTCAAAATGTTCGATGCAAGTTTGATCGCGAAAAGTACGTAACGCGGATTCTTGTCAAGAATAGGGGAGAAGAAAAGGGTGTTTTCGGGCCGCCGGCGAAAGGGCGTTGAAGCTGTTTCTATAGAAATGCGCGCGCCGCGAACAAAAAGCTGAATAACATTAACTCGCTTAATGTATTCTCTTAATTTTAATACACAATGCCCTCGAGCTGACGCGCTCTCCCAGATTGTTCAACCTTCGACGAATATTCTCTTACTTCCTTTAACCCTCCATGTTCTAATCTTTTTTCGTCTGATTAATATTTATATTATATTAACTTTACTCTTCCCATTTCTCGCTAATAGAGAATAATGTAACAATATTTATCGTAGGATATGTTACTGGCATGCAGTAAGGACAAATTGGAAAGACAACAATAAATAAAAAATATATATAATTATTAATATACACATATATAAATATATTTGCCTGAAATTTTGGAATATGCATTTCAATAGATATATCTGTTAGAAAATTATAATAAAAATTCGTGTTCTGTGATTGTTCTCGTAAGAGCGTTAACTGATATCGGGGTTACTCAGCTTCTTGTTACAAGTATAGTTTAGACTTATGTACAATATGTACCCTCTCGAGTTTAGTAGCTACACGATTCTACCGCTATTGTTTTCACCGTTTGAAATTGCACTCGCGGACGAATGCCCGCGGGGTCCCCCCTTGATGTTTCGCGCAGCGAAGATTACATTACGGATCGGTTTTACCGCGCGTCACTTTGATCAATTCCGCGGCTGTTCGACCGGGAGGACTTTCCATAGACCAGCGGGGCGCGCTCGCGCCCTTCGGGCGCATTACAAAGCGCTCTTTCAGCGAAACTGCCAAGTCGTATCGAGCAGAGCTGAACTGAACCCGTGCCACGATGGCGATGCGCGTTCTCTTGTATATTTTCTTTGATTAATCCGTGTCCGGGTCGCTTCCAGAAAATTCCCGTATTCCAACTCCCGAGGCGTCGTGACGTCATTCGTATTATTTTCATCCGCGCACCGCATCGGCCACCTGTCAGGCGCACGCATTTACTCGCTGGTGTAATACCAGCTAGCGTGCGTGTATCAAATTCGAAACGATTTTGATTGTTGCGGAGAGAGCGACAAATTAATTTCCATTTCTCGCGACTCTCGGTCGAGTTTTGTTCTGTCCACGTCTACCGAAGCATTCGCTGTGTTCGTTAAATAAATGTGTTACGGGCTCTTGATATTTATTTCTCGCCGAGAGGGAATATCGATCAACTGATTAACAAGCGTATACGACGGGACGTCATAATAAATTTTCAACGTTCTCTTTAATTTTATTTATTTACTACTGTATTTTTACTCTCTCCTCTTCCCCTCCTCCAGTCTCCAAATATAATTTATCGGTTACTCGCTTCGGTATATAAAAATTCAAATGTCGCGTGCAAACGAACCGAATGAATTTTCCCTCCCGGCAATATTTCTGATGTATTTCACGTGTACGTTGATTCAATTCGAAATTATATCGTGACATTCTTTTTATGGCCAAGAGATGACCTTATCGACTCGCGATTGCTCGCTTGATCGTTCGCACGTACGTACACGCGCTTATTGTACGTGTGACAAAACCAAGAGGATGGGAATGGCCCGTGAATGTCCCGTCGGTGACCTCGTCTCTTCGTTTGCATACGCAAACAGAGGAATTAGGACCGGACACGTTGCGCTGCATATTCGATCGGGGGGAGAGGGAGGGAGGGGGAGGGTTCTTTGCCCCATGGGAGCGCGTTATTGTCGTCTCGAGTAGGTTATTGTCGTCGAAACACATCGGAACAATCGACAATATTGCTCGAAATTCGACGGGTCTTTGTGTCGACAAGAATGAATAAATGCCAAAGTTTGCCAGCTTTCTCGTGTCGATTTCTCCCGGTTACTCCGATAAAGTTTTCGACTTATATATAATCAATTATTCCTCAGTTTTTTAAAACGAATACATGTTTTTTTTTTACCTGTGCTCGTTTCAGTTTAGCTTTGCAAAGATCGATTAATATCTTAAAAAGTGAATTCATGATGATTCGCGATGAAAGTATAATTGAAAAACCGCGTTCTTTATTTTGTCCTGTTGTATATTATTCGAGTAGCGAGAAGAGATATTTTTCTCGTGATTCGGGAGGAACCCGCGAATGATTCACGAATTAGGGGTTGCTCGCGAAAAATTCCTCAGAGTTGCGAGGGGAGTTGATTTGAATTTTCCACGTCGGTTTAGCATCGCGGCACCTCCGCCATCGTTGCATCCAATATTCCATAAATAAATCGACGTTTAATAGAAAATCGGAGAACTGCAAGGCACCTCATCGCTCACTGTCACGGCGTTTCGCGCTCTACCGGCATCTAGTATCTCAATAATATTCAGTTTATAAATCTCGAATGGATCCCTTATTACGTTCCCGACGTGGCTGATTCATCCACCTCTTTCTTTCTCATTAGCATTCTTAGACGAGGGATTTATCCCTGATTTATCTCGCGACTTATAAATATCAACTGAATATTTGACGCCGGCACTTTTTATTTTTCTCTTTTGTTCGCTTGTGAGTCTATCTCTATTATCGAATCTTTATATAATACGATAAATTATTGAAAATCGATCAAGCTTCTTAATTGCGTGTTAATATGAGTTGAACCAAGTACACATAATGATATGCTTGCGCCGAGCATCAGTAAAACGATGGATCCATCACAATCGATCAAGCATTGTTCGCGTCTCTATAATTTAATGCTCAAGCGACTAACGACGTATCTCGGCCCCTATCCATCTTTTTCCTTTTCCTCCCGCGAATTCCGCGCGTGAAGATACAACTTTCTTATTTCGGAGAGAACCGCCTATCTTCTCCTAAACAGACGAGTTTCCTAGATAGAGACGCGCGAACGGATTTCATCAATGTAATCTCTAACATTAATATATAATAATCTAATATATTCTTGTAACAAAATATATATGCTCATATAATAGAAATATTTAATATAATTTTAGTAAGAAATTTCCAAGTAATTTCCACATTGTCTTAGATAATAATATTACTTATATTTCC